GGAAAGATAAATGATATCTACCTGCCAACTCTTAACAGTTCCACAAATTTGTCTCAGGCCCTTCATTTCCCTCTCTATAAATAAATGCCTTTGTTCTTTACTTCCCAAGATCATAGAATCTTTTATTCTACCTTGACTACCAGAGGTATTCATAATAATGGCATCCAACCCAGGGCTGACAAACTCTACAACAGTCCATGTTCCAACATTATCTCTTAATTCAAACCCCTTAATCCCCAAAGTATCTTATATATACAGAAAATTATCCCAGGGCCTTAACGCATTAAAGAATATTGTTATTTTATAAGTACTTAATTGGTTGAAATTCAAGCATGAGCCAGAGACATTTCCACACAAGGAACTTTTCTATAAAATGTTAGAGAGGAAAGATATTTATAGCCTTAAAGTAAGAAGGTATTACATTTCATAATCCCGCTCGCCCATCTTCCTATGAGCTGGCTTCATTTATTCAACAAATATTTAGTGCCTAGTAGATGCCAGTAACTATTCTAGGTGTTGTAAACACAGCAATGAAACAAAGCCCCTGCACTCATTGTGGGGAGGCAAATAACAAATATTATGCATTAAGTCTAAAAAGGAAAAATAATCAGCAGAATAAAGGGCCCAAGTGGACTGATGTACCCTCTCTAATTAGATGACATCTGAGTAGAGATACTACTAAAATAAGTGAACTATTCAGATACCCGAGGAAATAGTATTACAAGCCAGAGGGTAAGAACAAATATAAAGGATCGGATCTAAGGTATGGGTGTTCCTGGTGTGCTCAAAGAAAAAAAAAAAACAGAAAAGAGGTCCCCATGTGGTTTTTATGTTCTAGGCAGAGGGAACATCAAGAACAAAGGTAATGAGGCAGAACCATGTCTGCTATGTGTGGGGAATAGTAACGAGCAAAGTGTGCCTGGAATAGGGTGAGCAAGGAGAGCAGTAGGATTTGAAGACAGAGGGGTAATGGAGGCCGTATCATGAAGGGCCTTGAAAACCATCGAAAGATCTTTACTTTGAGAAGGGAAGCCACTGGGTTTGGAGGAGAAGTGGAAAGATCTGATCTTTGTTTTAACTGAGCAGCTGATGGGTTCTGATATACTTTTTATTTTATTTTTTTTTTTGCCGTACGCGGGCCTCTCACTGTTGTGGCCTCTCCCGTTGCGGAGCACAGGCTCCGGACGCGCAGGCTCAGCGGTCATGACTCACGGGCCCAGCCGCTCTGCGGCATGTGGGATCCTCCCGGACCGGGGCATGAACCCGCGTCCCCTGCATCGGCAGGCAGACTCTCAACCACTGCGCCACCAGGGAAGCCTGGTTGTGATATACTTTGATGCTAGATAGAAACAAGATGATTTTGCTAACAGATCAGATGTGCACACTGGAGAAAGAATTCAAGGATGCCTCAGATTTTGTGTCTGAGCAACTTGAAGAATGGAACAAACACTAAGTGAGACAGGAGGACTGTAAGGAAGGAAGGTTTAGGGGTGATATTTAATTATCAATAAATCACAGATATCTATTAGACAACCAGGTAGGAAATCAATAGAGCAACTGATTCTTACAGTAATAAATGAGTTATATCCTTGAGACATAGTCATTTTATTTGTCAAAGAGTAATGATTTTATGTTTTATCAAAAATTACCTTTCAATCCAACAAGATGCCCAATGCCAAAACTGATAAATTTGATAGTCAGTTACCTAATACTACTGCGCAGCTTAAAGCCTCGATTTCATCTTTTCTTGGTTCCCACTGTGAATCCCAAATGGTAATAAAAATCTAACTCCTCTGACACTTCTCTAGTTTTTTTCCTCTACTGATTTGGTACTTTTTCTCCTTCAGACAATAAGCTATACCCCTTTGGTGGCAGCAATAATGCAAATTTAGTTTTATAAGCAGACCATCTGGTGATCTTTGTAAATGGATTAATGAATTATAGTTACGTATTTTGTTGCATGAAAAATAATAGACAATTCATCTTGTTAGCCTTTTTTGACTATTAGTCCATTGTGAACTAAAATCAATTAAGAATCTAAAAAGAATTCTAGCTTTGGTAGTTAGATTGCAATTTTTTGTATTTCTGTGTTTACTCTTTACCTGTGGCTGAAGTGGTAGATATAAGCTCTTTGTGTACCTATAATTCAGAAAGGGCTTTACCCACCACTATGTATAATCATTATGTTAATACTCTACAGAGAGTATTAACAAATTATAAAGTCTCTTAAAGGAGCTCAATTCTGATTGGTTTACAGAGATAAATTAGAGAATTTATAGAGATAAATACTCCTAAAATTCCTGGAAAATAAAGAAATTGACTCATAATACTTTAACTATATTAAACTTTAAAAAAAAATTCTTCCTATAGGAGCTAAAGCGGAAATATTTTAAGATTCCAAGTTCCCATAATTAAGTGAAATCTTTTTTTTTTTTTTTTTTTTTTTTTTTCCTTGCGTTATGCGGGCCTCTCACTGTTGTGGCCTCTCCCATTTGCGGAGCACAGGCTCCGGACGCGCAGGCTCAGTGGCCATGGCTCACGGGCCCAGCCGCTCCGCGGCATGTGGGATCTTCCCGAAACGGGGCACGAACCCGTGTCTCCTGCATCGGCAGGCGGACTCTCAAGCACTGCGCCACCAGGGAAGCCCTAAGTGAAATCTTTGGTAAACAAGACTAACTTACTTGGTTTTAAAAATACAAATGTACTTTCTCGAATTTATCAGTGTTAAGTAGAAAACAAACATGTATCTTATTTTACTTGGGTTTTTCTTAATGTATAGAGATTTGTCAGTCAAAATAACTAACATTCTCCATAATGTTTAAGTGTATGAAAATGTAAATCTGTGTTCAACTAAACTGACTATTCAACACTATCTACCGTTTTGTATACTGTCATCCGGAAGATAATTTCCAAGATCTTTGGCTTTAGATAACTTAAAATAGTAGACTATATTGAGTTAATTAACTCAATAATCACTGAATACAGGATAGAATTCTCAAACATTAATTACTAAACATAAGTTTATATCCTTTTGCTTGTTATTTTTCATATACTATAGAGAGGCAATATCTTTGAGTCATATTAATGAACCTACTGGGGCTTCCCTGGAGGCACAGTGGTTGAGAGTCCTCCTGCCGATGCAGGGGACGCAGGTTCGTGCCCCGGTCTGGGAAGATCTCACATGCCGCAGAGTGGCTAGGCCCGTGAGCCGTGGCCACTGAGCCTGCGCGTCCAGAGCCTGTGCTCCACAACGGGAGAGGCCACAACAGTGAGAGGCCCGCGTACCGCAAAAAAAAAAAAAAAAAGAACCTACTCAATTTTGCTACTTTAAGTGTAAAATAATATGTGTGGTGTAGAAAGATATATGTGTGGTGTAGAAAGTTCATGAGCTCTGGTAGTCAGCTACAATGTTTGTGTATGACATCTCTCAACTGTCCGTCCCTGCCTCTAGTTTACTCTCTGAAATAGAAGTTACTACGGTTAAAATAATTAACATAACTGGTTGAGACTACACTTGGAGTAATAGTGACCAAGAAATATAAACCATTTGTGTTTGTTTTTCAAGAAAAGAGCAAAGATGATCACTGATGAGCACACCCTTCAGGGTTTTCTGTGTCTTTTTACTGTCTTTATTTTTTTATACCTCTATTGCAACTGAGAGCAATGCAAATGATTCTTATCAATAAAAATAAAAATGAAAATTTTCCCTCAAATGTAATTGATTATTGCTTTGTGGATACTGACCACTTTTGCATCTATTTGTAAATCCATCTTAGCTTTCCTGATATCCTACACATAAATGTGTTCTTTGGGGACTTCCCTGGTGGTGCAGTGGTAAAGAATCTGCCTTCCAATGCAGGGGACATGGGTTCGATCCCTGGTCGGGGAACTAAGAGCCCATATGCCGCGGGGCAACTAAGCCTGCGCACCACAACTACCGAGTCCACGCACCTCAATGAGAGAGCCCACATGCCACAAACTACAGAGCCCATGTGCTCTGGAGCTCGCACGCCACAATTAGAGAAGAGAAGACCCGCAAGCTAAAGAGAAGCTCACGTGCCACAATGAAAGATCCTGCATGCCTCAACTAAGACCCAACACAGCCAAAAAAAATAAAAATAAATAAATAAACATAAATGTGTTCTTTGAATTCTCCTTAGAATTGGCTGTAACATCTTACTAGCTCCCTTTGTAATTAATGAGCTCAATAAAATCTCTGACACCTGTTCATTTAAAATTATGAAAAAGGCAGATGGTATACTACTATGAAATAATGAAACCTATGCATTTTAAAGGCAGAAGAGGAAAGCTAGCAGATTTAAGTTAACGATTAGAAAAAGAGATAAATTATATGAATAAAAATATGTAAAATACTAGGATATATGGCATGACATTTCCATGCAAAGTTAAAAAAAAAAAAACAAGGCCATATTAGAAAATTTTATTTCAAGGCACAAACTAAAGCTATCTCAATCAAAGAAATACAACTTTCTGTTGGAAAAAAAATTTTTTTTGAGGGGAAAGAGATGGATTTCTCATCAACACTGTGAAGGAACAGAACTAGATCTTTAAAGTCCCTTCTATCTCCAAAATTCAACTATGAATACAGGAAGCCTTAGAGAGCAGAAACTGGGAAGTAGAAATACAACAAAGATTTCACTTTTAGTGGGGTAAACAGAGCTTGATGTAGATATGTTACTCATCCTTTCTATTTTCTAAAACAAGAAAATATATATTTCTGCTGGAATAGTTTTTTGTCAAACACTGTTCAAACAAAGTCTCAAATTCTTCCTAGTTTTAACACTTATGGAGGAGAAAGGATTATACTGCTACATCATTTATCCAAAATACCGAATCATAAGAAAATGAGCTTTAGAGAAAGAGGAAACAGTGAAAACTTATTTATTTAACTTATGCCAAATAATGCTTAAAGTCATTTCCAGAAGTCATTTTTGTAAAAATCAAAATCATAACAAAAGATAATTATATCAACATAAGGTACCTATGTTTCGTAGAATTTCGACAAGTTTTTCTCTTTTTGAGTACTGGCCAACTTGGAGAATGATCTGCTGAACATCTCTACATGCTCCACCCACTTGTCCAACAGCAACAAACAAATAATTCGACTTTAAAAACTCCCCAGCCAACCTTGAAAGACAAGAGAGTATTCCTTAACTTATCCTCTTCCATTAATACTCATAATATTCACTGAATTACTACAAGTGTTACCTCAATATTAATAAGCCAGATTATAACAGCTATAATAAGAGAAGGTGGATACTTACATCATCCAAGTACTACTTTCAAATATCAGTATTAAATGTTAAGATTTTGCAAAATACTTAACAACTACTAGTGAAAAAGTCTGTGTCAAATTATGGATAAGTAATTTCAAGTGGATGTGTTCACCATACAAAACTATATAAAACATGTATATAACAATAAAAAAAAAGTATGCTAAGTATCAGACTACAAGCAGGAATTTTTTTATTAAAAATTAAAATGTAACTCTACAACAGAAATTCTGTTTTTCATTCATTGCTTTCATGTATGTTATTTCTAGGAGTTGTTTCCTGAAAATATTACTTGTCAAATTAGTATACTTCAAATGAAGTATTAGGAGCAAACCAGATCTTAAGTCAGTGCTTTTTGTAACATGACAAACATTGATAATATCTGTACAGCATAATTGGGCAAAAAAATGAGATGATGTGAAGAGACCAGGGGCCAGGGCCACACCAAGTTGTGGAGGCTCACCCCAAAGGTTGGGTGTATCAGCATCTTGACACACACACAACTCACTGACAGCATACAATTAAGAAGCCCTGCTCTAGATCACCCAGGAACATGGAGTAGGGAGAAGGGGAATTGCCAATTACAGATCAAGTTTGGAAGGAAAAAAAGGGAAGGTCATGTAGCAGTCATGTACATACTCTCCTATGTAGCAGTCCCTTACTTTCTAGCCACCTCCTAGCATATCAAGAAAATAGTTCAAACTCAGTAAATCCATAATCTTAATAAATCACTGCTGCTTCTCTCTCTTCATCTGCTCTCTTACCATAAAAGAAAAACACTGTTGATATACTACCTCTAGAGACAAGAACCCTCTCAAACCTTGAGATCATCTGCAAGTCTTAATTGTCAATCATCCTTTACACTCATGAAAACATATTCTGAGTGCCTCGTGTCAGGCATACATGGTACAAGGCACTGGGTGTATAAAGATGAATGTGATGGTCTCTGCCTCTAAGGTGCTCATATCAGGTAGGATAAATATAATTATATTTAAAAATAATTACTATAATCTAAAATATTTATATAGGTTAATATTTACATATTTTAATTATTTAATGATTTACTATAATAATCCAGTGTTACAATAGTTAATATCTATTGAACCTAACTATATTCCAAGAAACATGAAAAGTGTTTTAAATAGTTTCTTTCACAAAATACAGGATTCTTTCACAAGACTGGCAGAAAATGGATGAAATGATGTCTGTTAAGAGTCTTCAAGTTTGAAGCTTGATCTAAGGAAGCAGCAAGCAAGAATGTGAAAAAATGATGACTAGGGAAAGGCACTCAATGCATAAGAAGACACAAGGATAAATAATGAGGAGGAACAGAATTTGGCTTGTGTGGCTGATAGGAAATAGTCTAAATAAGCCAGAAATACATCGGTCCAGGTAAAAAAGTGGCAAATGAGGCAGAAATTGTCTTGTGTAAAAGAATTTGAAAGTTGGTTAGTCTGTGGAGATGGAAAAACATGGGAGGATTTATCTTAAATAAATGGCTATAAAGATCAGACTTTGTTTTGGAATTTTTACCAGCATAAAAATGAAACTACAGGCAGGGAGACAGGTTAGAAAGAAAGCTACTACCAATGAGCAGAGGGAAACTGAAAAGGACCTAAAATAAGGTGGGAAATAAAGAAACTAACGAATTTGAAATATTTTAGAGATAACTGCCAAGTTGAACACTTTTGAAGGGCAGAATTAAAGGAGTATGAGGGAGGAATCAACATGATTCAAAGGACTCTGGCTTCCAAAGACCACGATGCCAATAAGGAAAACTGAAAAGGAAAGAGGGAGCTGAAGAATAGGTTCAATTTTGGACTTGATGAACATGAGTTACTGGTTAATTCATCTAAGAGGAAAAACAATCCTAAAGAGTTAAATCTAAAAGTCTGGAGCTGAGGAGAGAGATTAAGCATACAAGTAATAATTGGGTTGTTTGTTTTTGATATTAAGTTGTAGAAGATCTTTACATATTTTGGATATTAACCTCTTATGGAACATATCATCTGCAAATATCTTCTCCCAACCAGTACACTGTCTTTTTGTGTTTCTTCATGGTTTCCTTCACTGTACAAGACAAACAACCCAATTTTTAAAACTGGGCAGAGGACCTGAATAGACAGTTTTCCAAAGAAGACATACAGATGGCCAACTGGCACATGAAAAGATGCTCAATATCACTAATCATCAGGGAAATGCAAATCAAAACCACAATGAGATACCACCTCACACCTGTCAGAATGGCTATTATCAAAAAGATAAGAAATAACAAGGGTTGGCAAGATGTGGAGAAAAGGGAACCCTTGTGTACTGCTGGTGGGAATGTAAATTGGTACAGCCACTATAGAAAACAGTATGGAAGTTTTTCAAAAAATTAAAAATAGAACTATCGTATGGAGCAATTCCACTCCTGGGTATATATCCAAAGAAAATAAAAACACTAATTTGAAAAGATATGTGCACCCCAATGTTCACAGCAGCATCATTTACAATAGGCAAGATATGAAAACCTAGGTTTCCACCAACAGATGAATGGATAAAGAAGATATGGAGTATACGTATATGCAATGGAATATTACTCAGCCATAAAAAAAGAATGAAATTTTGCCATTTGCAACAGCATGGATGGACCTGGAGATTATTATGCTTAGTGAAATAAGTCAGAGAATGACAAACACTGTATGTTTTCACTTATACGTGGAATCTAAAAATAAAAGAAAGGAACAAATATAACAAAACAGGAACAAACTCACAGATACTGAGAACAAACCAGTGGTCACCAGAAGGGAGGGGGCTGAGAGAGGAGCAAAGAAGGCGAAGAGGATTAAGAGTTACAAACTACTAGGTATAAAATAAATAAGTTACAAAAATGTAATGTACAGTACAGGGAATATACTTCATATTTTATAATAACTTTGTATGGAATATATTCTACAAAAATACTGAATTACTACACTGAGCACTAAAAACTAATATAATATTATAAACCAACTATACTTCAGTCAAAAAAAAAATACAGGTAATAAGTTTGGGAGAGTAAACAGGTACAAGTGCAAGCCAAGGAAATGGATGCTTCAATGGTTCAGTGAATATGCAGAATGAAAAAAGTGGACTTTAGACAGAATAATAGGCAACTTGTAACATTTAAATGCAGACAGTAAAGCAACTGAGAAGTCATCAAGAACTCAAGAATATAAACAACTCAAGGTCAGGAACTCTATCCTATTTATCATATAGCCCCAAGGCTTATAATCAAATATGGCTAATAAAAAGTCCTCAACAAATATTACTGACTGACGGTAGTATACATTAGTCATTTGGGCTGGCCAATATCTGAACACTTTCCTATTTCAGGGTAAATTAAAAAAATAGATGGGACCTCCCTGGTGGCACAGTGGTTAAGAATCTGCCTGCCAATGCAGGGCATACAGGTTCAACCTCTGCTCCGGGAAGATCCCACATGCTGTGGAGCAACTAAGTCGGTGCGCCACAACTACAGAGCCTGTGCTCTGGAGAGCCTGCATGCTTCAACTACTGAGCCCGCGCACCTAGAGCCCGTGCTCTGCAACAAGAAAGGCCACCACAATGAGAAGCCCGCACACCACAACAAAGAGTAGCCCCACTCGCCACAACTAGAGAAAGCCCCACGTGCAGCAACAAAGACCCAACACAGCCAAAAAAAAATTAAAATTAAAAAAAAAAATAGAGTGGCTTTGTGGCAGCAGCGGCAGCTGGTCTCCAGCATCATGAGCGGCTTCAGCAGCGAGGAGCGTTACACCCTTCACCCTCAAGTACTGAGTCTTCCTCAAAAGTGAAAAAGGACAATATATATCTCCATTTCATGATATTCCAATTTATGCAGATAAGGATGTGTTCCACATGGTGGTTGAAGTACCACGCTGGTCGAATGCAAAAATGGAGATTGCTACAAAGGATCCTTTAAACCCAATTAAACAAGATGTGAAAAAAGGAAAACTCCGTTATGTTGCAAATCTGTTCCCTTATAAAGGATATATCTGGAACTATGGTGCCATCCCTCAGACTTGGGAAGACCCAGGACACAATGATGAACACACTGGCTGCTGTGGTTACAATGATCTAATTGATGTGTGTGAAACTGGAAGCAAGGTATGTGCAAGAGGGGAAATAATCAGAGTGAAAGTTCTGGGCATACTGGCTATGGTCGATGAAGGGGAAACCAACTGGAAAGTCATTGCCATTAATGTGGATGATCCTGATGCAGCCAATTATAATGATATTAATGATGTCAAGCGGCTGAAACCTGGCTACCTGGAAGCTACTGTGGACTGGTTTAGAAGGTACAAGGTTCCTGATGGAAAACCTGAGAACCAGTTTGCTTTCAACACAGAATTTAAAGATAAGGACTTTGCAACTGATATTATTAAAAGCACTCATGACTACTGGAGAGCATTGGTGACTTAGAAAACTGATGGAAAAGGAATCAGTTGCATGAATACCACAGTGTTTGAGAGCTCCTTCCAGTGTGATACTGATGCTGCCAAAGCCATTGTGGATGCTTTACCACCACCATGTGAATCTGCCTGCACAATACCAACAGATGGGGATAAGTGGTTCCATCACCGGAAAAACTAAGGAAATTTCTCTGGAATACAAGTTGATATTGCTGCATCCTATTCGTCTGAAAGCATTAGATGCAAAAGTAGTAACTTTTCCAAGCTTTAAATTTATAGAAGTAATCAATCAAATTCTGCTGTGACCAATGCAATATATCCATACTGTTATCCATCTAAAAGCATCTTTCATATCAACTAAGATAACTTTTAGCTCCTGCTTAAATATCAAGACAGTTGTAGTTTGGAAGTCATCTGTGAATAAATGTCCAAGATAAGTATGCACTGGATATATATGTTTGCCACGTGTTAGGAAATAAATAAATATAAATTTTTAAAAATTTTATTTGTTTATTTATTGTTGGCTGTGTTGGGTCTTCATTGCTGCGTGCGGGCTTTCTCTAGTTGCGGCGAGTGGAAGCTACTCTTTGTTGCGGTGCGCGGGCTTCTCACTGCAGTGGCTTCTCTTGTTGTGAAGCACAGGCTCTAGATGCTCGGGCTTCAGTAGTTGTGGCACGTGGGCTCAGTAGTTGTGGCTCGCGGGCTCTAGAGCACAGGCTCAGTAGTTGTGACGCACGGGCTTAGTTGCCCCACGGCATGTGGGACCTTCTCGGACCAGGGCTCGAACCCGTGTCCCCTGCATTGGCAGGTGGATTCTTAACCACTGCACCACCAGGGAAGTCCCAGAAATAAAATTATTTTGTTGAAAAAAAAAAAAAAAAAGATAGGCAGGAGGAATATTACCTGCTAATTAGGTAGGTAGTTACCCACCTAGTATTAATTACCTATGATGATGATGGGAATGTAGATACCCCACTTCAAATTTAAGATACCATTTAAATATAAGAAACTATTCTTTTATGTTCCACTAAGAAAGAAAAAAATCTTGGCAACTGGCCAAATGCTTTATTACGATTTAGACTTTTTCCTCAGTAAAGAGCTCTTTTTAACTTTATACAAAGGCTTTTAAAATCATCTAATAAGTAATACAAATTGATAGTGTTTGACCCCACATAACATTCTATCAGACCAGGGGATCCACTTTCAGCAAAGGTGGTATTGCAGCAGGTGCACAACCATGGGGTCCATATCATACCACAATACCCAGAAGTTGCCAGCCTGACAAACTGGAACTGTCCACTGAAAGAACAGCTAAAGGGACAGCTTGGAAGTGATTCTTTATGAGGATGGAATATCATTCAGTAGGAATCAAAGATCTTCATGTGGTACATGGGTCTGTGAACCAAGGGATACAAGCAAGGGTGGGCCACATACCATCCATCACTTCCAGTGACCCACATGGGAAATCTGTGCTTCCTACCCCCACTACAAGTATAGGTTCTGCAGTTTTGGAGGTCTTGGTTCCCAAAGAGAGAATGGTTCCACCAGAGAAAACAGGAAGAGTCTTACTGAACTGTAAGCTAGAGCTGCTGCATGGGCATTTCAGGTTCCCTGTGGCCAAGGGATCAGCAGGCAGGAGGAAGAGTCACCACTCTAGCAGAAATGTGTCATCCTAATCTCAGAACTCACAGACCACACAGTACATGGTATGATACTCAAATATCTGTGGAAATTGGTATATAAATTTTCCAACACAAGCACAATTCCCCCAAGCTCTATTATTTGGTTTGAGGAGAAGGCACAACAATAAAAATAATTTCATTTAGTAAGCACTTATTAAATCCTAGCTAGGTGTTGCACTCATGCGCTCGCTCGCTCGCTCGCTCTCCCTCTCCCTCCCTCCCTCTCTCTCTCTCTCTCTCTCACACACACACACACACACACACACTTTAATAAAATGTGATGCTAATGTAAAGCCAGGAATTAAGGTAATAAACAATGAAAAATAGGGTAAACTTCCTGGAAATACTTCTCAACTACCTAAGTTACAATCTTAAATTTAGGATTAAATGAAGTAAATCTCTCAAAAATAAGATATTCACATTATTTCTCCTGCTATAAAAGCATCAAGTACATAGCAACTACTTTTAAGAAGAAAAAATTTACCTTTGAATTTCTTCTGGAAAAGTTGCGCTAAACATAAGGGTCTGACGCCGTTCCTTTGATGGCATTCCTTGGCAGGAAATTAACTTCTTCATTTCTGGTCCAAAACCCATATCCAGCATGCGATCAGCTTCGTCCAAAACTATATATTTGACTTGTCTGAGACCAATCTTTAAGGATATTTTCAAGGGTGAGGGCAGAGAATGCATACTAGTTAACGTATTAAACTAAAATATTCTCTACAACTCCAACTATTAATATATTCTTAAGGATGAAGATTAGAAATAAATGCATAAAATGAAGAGAACTGTTATGACTAGGTAATACTATCAGTGTTTATTTCAGTTCTCAATTTTGCCTGTTATAAAACATTTTATAAGAAAGAAACCAAAACATCTAGATCAGTACTACACAATACACCTTTCTGTAATTACTTAAAAATTCTGTATCTTCACTGTTAGCCAGTAGCCACATGCAGCTAATAAGCACTTGAAATGTAGCTAGTGTGCCTGAAGAAATGAATTTTTAATTTTATATCAGTTTGAAATTTAAATAACCACATGTAGCTAGTGACTACTGTACTGGACAGCACAGATCTAGACTATATTATCTGATAAAGTCAGACTCTTTAATGTAAGAAATAAAATTTCTTAATAGAATGACATATTCAAATGTCTTATAACTGCTAAACTTATTTCTAACTCCTTTAAACCCTTAATAAATCCCCCATTCTCTAATCACTCAGGAACAACTGGGAAACTTTTCTAACCTATCATGGATACTTAGTGCTAAAAACAGAAGCACACATTTGCAAAAAGAAAACAATTTATTTTGGTACCCCAGGGAAGATGTTTAATCAAGGTGGATTTCTCTAGATACTCTTAATAAGTATCCTAAGAAAAGTCCCTTTACGCAGAAAGAGCATGTTTTGAACAATCCCTTTAGAGAAGGGCCTTAAAAAAGCAAATCAGAGTCATAAAAGTGAACTGAAAATACTGATACAGAGATGTAATACTGTGGTATGTGAATACCAAAAAGAAATACATAGCCCTAAAATCTCTTTCTGAAGACAGAAAATTAATAGTCCCGGATAATATCACTCCCACACCTAAAACAGAAGACAAAATAACTGATGCCACAAAGGCTTTCTTTCAGGAAAAAATATTTATTTCATCAAGACATATATGAAACTAGATAAAAGCACTTATTACATTTCTCTCCCAGTGTAGTGGGGTACAGGATACAGATTCTGGAATCAGATCCAGATTCTAACCCTAGCTCTATCACTTACTACAGCACTGAGAGGTTTAAAATAAATTACATAATCTCACTACGTTTATTTTCCCAAGTATAAAATGGAAAATACTATTTACCTCCTATTTTCATTATTTTAAGATTTATATGAGAATGCATTCAAAGCATCTGATGGGGGCCTAATATATAAATGGTGCTGTAATAAATGTATGTATCTTTATACCAATCTCTCTCTTCCCCAAACAAAAAAAATTATTAATCAATAACACAACTTTGTTATCCCTCTAGAGCCTACCTTTTCTTTACCTATGATATCCATCAGTCTCCCAGGAGTAGCACATAATATATTACAGCCTTGTACTATTTGTCGAATGGAATGCCCCAACTGGGTTCCCCCATATATAGCAACAGCTCTTACACAAGTCCTATTAACAATAAAAGTAAATGTCAATTTCTAGTTACTTGAAAATTAGCCATTTGTTTCTAACAAGATGTAAAATGAAATCCATAAAGGAAAAGCTAATACATTCAACATAATTTTTAAAAAATTAAATTCTTCCCAGAAAGAAGCTGAAAAGCTGTGAGAAAAAAATATTTGCAACTTGTCTGATAAAGGGCTCTTCAAAAACAATGATAAACATGACCAACACTCACACAGTAAGCCAAAAACATGAACAAATGGTTCATAAAAAATACAAAGGTTTTTAAACACTTTAAGTTCAACATTACTTTTAAAAGCAAAATAAATGAAGACTAACAACATTTTCCCTCAAGTGTGATAATACCATGTTAGCCAGGGCATAGGGAAACTGGCACTCAGGAGGTTAAACTGATACAACACCTTTCACAATTTTAGTCTCTATTAAAATTTTAAAACATATCTTTTTCCCAATAAATTCACATCTAGGAATTTTCCCTTCAGATATGTCCCCACACATGGGTAAAGATGACTGTAAAATAATATTCACTACTAACATTATTTCTAATATCAAAAGATTGAAACCTATCTAATTGTCTAACAATAAAAGACTTAAAATTATAGCCCACCCATACAAAGGAATACTGTGCATTCATAAAAAGGAGTACAGTTCTAGAGTAAGCATTAGCTCCAACATATACCACTTTTAAAAAACAGGTGACAACAAGCTTAGTATGCCACCATTTGTTGAGAGAATTAAAGTGCATACATGTGCACCAGCTATTTCTACAATAATTCACATAAACTGTTAATAGTGTGTAAACTCTGAAGAGAATTAAAGATAAACATTGATACTTTTCAGTTTTTTGCCAGAAAAATGTTCCAACAAATATCCATGTAGTAATATTCATTTTGTGCATAATTATCTGAATTTATCATACATATGCTTTCGTTTTTTAAAAAAGAAAACTGTTATCTTTTACTTGATTTAAAAGCCTGAAGTTGGGACTTCCCTGGTAGCGCAGTGGTTAAGAACCTGCCTACCAATGCAGAGGACATGGGTTTGAGCCCTGGTCCAGGAAGATCCCACAGGCCACAGAGCAACTAAGCCCATGCGGCACAACTACTGAGCCTGCGCTCTAGAGCCCGCGCACCACAACTACTGGAGCCTGCGCGCCTGGAACCCGTGCTCCACAAAAAGAGAAGCCACCATGATAAGAAGCCCACACACCACAACAAAGAGTAGCCCCCGCTCGCCACAACTAGAGAAAGCCAGCGCACAGCAACGAAGACCCAACACAGCCAAAAATAAAATAAATAAAAATTTTAAAAAATTTACTGGAAAAGCTTTAAAAAAAAGTAAAAATAAAAGACTGAAGAGCAACATACTACATGGGGATCAGCAAGAAATAAACACTGGTATAAGCAATGTACACCTACTTTTTCCAAAAGATCTGTCAAGCTTGACATTAAAGGGATTTTAATAATTTTAATTTTTTCTACTCTCATTTTAAATAAACTGATTTATACAAAATAAAAGGTTAAGCTTCTATACAGAGAAAACTCTAAAAAATTGTAAAGAAAAACACTAATAACCCAATAGATAAACTGGTAGATAACAAATACATAAATTCACAAAAAAAAATGTATAAAGCGTTCAACCTCTCAATAACCAAATAAATGAAAAAAAATGAAGATACCTGTGGTGGTTTTAAAATATGTACACAAATTCTTCAATACGCCTTCCTTTAAATATATCTCCTAACTCCGCTCCCCCATAGATGTGTACAAGGCTGGCTTCATAGGTCTACAACCTGTGCAGTCATACAGGGTCCCAAGCTTAGAAGAGCCCTGTGCTTGGTTTAATGCTCTCTATTTGCTGCTTAAAATTCATAATTTTTTAACAAAGGACCCTGCATTTTCATTTTGCACTAGTTCTAGCAAATTATATAGCCAGTCCTGAGTATGGGCTAGACTTACTGACTTGCTTGGTAACAAACAGAATATGGCCAAAGTGACTGCAACTGTTTTATAAAAGTCATAGCAACCTCCTCCTTGCTCTTTCTCATTGACCACTCCATCAAAGAGAAGCCAGTTGTCATTTCCTAAGGACAATCAAGCATCTTTACACAGAGATCCAGTCAAATCTTCAGATGACTGCAATCCTAGCTGACATCTTGTCTGCAACCTCATAAGTGATCCCAAGTCAGAAACACCCAGCTAAACTGTTCCGCAATTCCTAACCCTCAGAAACTGTAAAATAATATTTATTGTTTTGTTTTGTTTGTTTTTACAGTATGTGGGCCTCTCACTGTTGTGGCCTCTCCCGTTGCGGAGCACACACTCCGGACGCGCAGGCTCAGCGGCCATGGCTCACGAGCCCAGCCGCTCCGCGGCATGTGGGATCTTCCCAGACCAGGGCATGAACCCATGTCCCCTGCATCGGCAAGCGGACTCTCAACCACTGCGCCACCAGGGAAGCCCGATAACATTTACTGTTTTGAGCAACTGGGTTTTAATGTAAGCAGCAACAAATAACTAATACCAAATACTGGCAAAGTGTGTAGTGAAACTGGCATTCTCATATACCGCTGGTAGAAGGCAAGCTTTAAAATAAGTCCATATTCTTTAACATTAAATTTATAAAAATCTACTCTAAGAAAATACTTAAAACATAAAAGTAGAAAAAATTTATATAGCAAGCTGTTCATTACCGCAAGAATTATTTTTATTTATAGTAGCTCCAAATTAGAAACAATCTAAATCCCCCAAAATAGAGAAATAAAATACATACACATGGGCAATCTTAAAGTCATTAAAAATTAGGTCTGACTGTTAAATAAGCAGTTATCCATTTTATTAAGTTACATATAAAAGAACAGAAAATTATTAGGAACACCCAAGTTCATTTTTTAAACATACATTTAAAAACTACCAGAAGACACACCAATATGTTCACTATTGTCTTATCTATTTCTATTATCATCTAATTTTTAATAAGAATGTTTCTTTTTAAAATAAAGAGATTCCATAAACAAGATTATGAAAAAGTAAACTTCAATCAATTACATGAGGGCATTCTTATTCATGCACTGTGTTCTTCCCAAAGTAAGAAAGAAAATTCTCTAAAGAAAAACTTGTTTGTGAGTGGCATTCTAGATGTACTTACCCAAAAGAAAATTTTCTGGCTTCCAAATAGATCTGACTGATCAATTCTCGGGTTGGTGCGACAATAATACACTCTGGTTCCTGCAGCTCTTTAAAACGACTGGCAGTTACTCCATCACGCATCATATGAGCCAAAATTGGCAACAGAAAAGCTGCCTAGAAGTTAAATTCCGTAATTTACAAATGTATAGTGCATCACCCTTCTCCCTATGGCAACCTATTCCTCATGTCTTCATATCCTTTAGCTTCTTTCAACTTTTTGGTAAATTTAAGATGAGAAAGGAAAACTATTTTTATTTCCATGAGTTTTTAACATTTAGGTCTTCATGCTCATATTATACAATATAAAATGTCTGATAATGTTAATCTACCCTATGAAAATATCTTTTGTTCTTTTTTTAAAAAGCACAGCCATAGATTCTAAATAAACTTATTTTTAGAGGTTAATGCAGCATGCAGCATTCATTCTAAATGACTCCTTTTGGGGTAGAAATAAAATTATCAGAATGCATGACAAAAGTGGTCCACAAGCAGAGCAAAACTTGGGAAATCATTCATTTGGATTACTAAACATATCACCCTTATTAAAGTTACATGTGGCAAGAAACTTTGTGCTATAGTTTTCTCATTAAACAAATAAGACACTAAAATCTACCTCCAAAACCACATTTAAGTCACACAACAGCTGCTATATTATACAACTCACTTATTTTCCCTTCAACTCTACTATGGAGGCTTTTTAAGACTAATACAGTATGAACCAAGAGTCTATCATCCTGGAAATGACAGTCTTTAATACTCATCTCATGGAACCCTATTTAATAGACAAACCCCACAGTTTAGTCCTAAGACCAACCTGGTCCCATCAGAGTTCTTTTAGAATTAGCATAACTGGAGGTCACTTCATACTAAGGACCAGGTACAATACCTACAGCTATTTCTCATTCTCTTGACTCCAAAACTGTATCAGCTGTATTACATAAATTATTTTTTACCTTTCTCTGTGGCTTATAAACTTTGGTGCTTTGACTCTCAATCATTTTGTTTTAGATATTATGTTGCACAGAAAAAGCTGACCACACTTAGAGATTAAAAATCTATGAACTACTCTGGAAATAGTTCAAAATTCTTTCTTCAGAAGCACACAAACCTCAGTAAAACCAGAAATCAGAAGCAAACACACATGAATATGTATGACAGTTCACTGAAATCTTCTACTTGGGAAGAACCAAAGTTCAAAAAGTAGCAGTTTGAATATGGGGCAGAATACATGCAGGAAAGTGACTTACAGTCTTTCCAGACCCTGTCTGAGCACAAGCCATCAAATCTCTTCCTCCTAGTATAATAGGAATACTGTATTTTTGCACAGGAGTAAGCTTAGTATAACCAGCTTTAGCAATGTTGCTATTCAGTGTCTGACAAAGATTAGCTTCTTCAAAAGTCTAAAAAACAACAGGTGGCAGTGATTAAATTCCATATATCATATACAGGTCATTCCCTAAACATATTCTATTTGAATTAGTTTCAAGTTGTTAATTCCACTTTATATACTATGTTAACTTTACAAATATGCCCCCACTCAAAAGTAGTATCCAGAACCTGTATGTTATTACTTGATAGAATTAGGAATATTCCGTATAGACAGTGGTTCTAGAAACTCTTTCCTGTCCCCTTAAAACCTGTGAGATACAAATAACTCTAATCAGTAAAAATGGTTCATTACCAACAAGGGACTCTGGGCTCCCCCACTCCTTAAAAAACCACTCCCCTAAGACACACTTTCTCACACACTTAGGAAGCAGAAATCTTGATCTCTAGGAAAAGTATCCTTTTTAGTCAATTTAAATAAAGTTCTCATCCTGGTTTGGGGAGGTGGGGAGGAAATATAGTACCCTCCCTTTCAACATAGCAATTAATTCTAATGTAGATGGTAGTCATGGTTCTAAATTTCCAACCTAAGACATTAGAGAATAAGATGAAATTTTTGTATTCTTTAATACCAACTTAAAGAAATGTACTAAATTTTTAAAAACCGAAGTTTGCTACACAGTCATTATAGAAACAATTATTACACTGACCAGAATTGCTGGTGGTACATCATGTCCAGATACTTCTACAAGAATAGCATCATATTTGTCAAAGTTTATGCCTGTCTGATAATGTGCAAAGATGGAGCTCTCATCCTCAGGTGGAGGAGGTGGTATGTAGGTCACTTTTGGTCCTTAGAATTTAAAAAGAAAATTTACATTACAAGGACTAGAATAAAAATAAGAGGGAAAACATACAAAAACTGACAAACTCAAATTTTAAATACTGTAGTAATTCCCAATGTTTACCATTAAAGTTTTCACTTCAGATTTTAAAAAGTTACCTCTGTTTTTAAATATTCTGTATTTGTATTAAAATGCAATATACACTCATGTGGATCATACAAAAATTAATATACCTTGAGTGTCACCACTTTCTCCTCCTTCAGCTTCTGACTTCCAAGAATCTTAAAAGGAATCAAATCGAAAAACAAATGTTTTTAAAAATCGAGGGGTAAAAGAATGCTCACTATAAAAATCAAATACCTTATCTAAAGTAAAACTTACGCTTTCTAGAGCCTGTAATTACTTCTTCATTTAAACCTTTGTAACCACCTATTAAAGAAATCCACAAGATACAGTCAAGATACAAGATACAAGACTATGCACATCTTTCTTTTCATTGCTTATCTTCAAAGAGAAAAAGTTCTGAAAATGCATAAAGTCCCTTCGTACAAATAATACTTGAGACAATTAAGATAAATAGAATGCTGAACGTTTTGATTCCTTAGCATTCAACATGCTGATTTTATGCAGATTACACTGTTATAACATATTAGTATTCTTTCGTTTAAACTGTTATGTCTCTTTCCTAATCCCTATATTCCTCAGCAAAGGAATATATTTTCTAAAAGGAACTAAAAATCCATCTTTGTTGGGATGTCCCCACTACAACCCATAGGTTCTATGATTTGCTAGGACTCAGAATATAGTCATAACCATGGCTGTGACTTATTACATAGAAAGGATAGGGAGCAAAATCAGCAAAGGAAAAAGGTGTACGGGGAAAAGTCCAGAGAAAACCAGGCAACCAAGCCTTCAAGAGTCTCTCCCACTGGTATCACACAGGACAAGTTGTGACAACATGTTGGAAATGCTGTCTACCAGAGAAGCCCATTAGAGGTTCAATATCCAGCGTTCTTACGAGGTGCTGATAATGCAGGAACCTTCTGCCTGGCATGTACCAAACTTCCAGACTCCCAGAAGAAAAGCACGTATTCAGCATAAACCACACAGTTGTACAAATTGTTTAGGCACAGTGAGCCACTCACACCAGTTAAGAGTGGTGAGACCCCTCCCTAAATCCAAGTTCTCAGAAGCCAGGTAAGGGCCAACCTTATAAGCAGGACTTTCAAAGAACAGCAGTCAGGTCTGCCGTGTTGACTCATTTCTATACACTATCTTTCTGATCTTTAGACAAGGAGTCATGTATTGTGCCACTTTCAGGTACTATCACAAAAAAAGAACAAGGACTGCATTAGATTTGAAAGGCTAACTAGATATAGCATCTTTACATGTGAGCTAATTTTCTTGTCCTGCATGTCCATAGGTCTTGAAATCTTTTTTCAAACAACATCTGAGCATTTGTAGAAGATACGGTTTAGCCATTAATAATCTTTTTCTATAGTGAAGAATCCAAGAATCCAAAGGAAGGAAGTGGGGACTAATAATGATCACTAAGAATTTTTCAGAGACATCAAACAAGCTTTATGGTTTTACTAGTCTGGAAAACATTTCAACTTTTATGTGAAATTTAAACATTTTTAACTCTGAAAAATTTTTTCATAGTATAAAATCATCTATACTGAACTTTCTTTATCCCCTATGCCAAGCCAAATAACTATCTCATAAGAAAAAACATTATTTTAATAAGAATTTATACATACAGATTACATCTCAATCTTTAACATCTGCATGGTATCTCCCATTTTATGGTTATATCATTTATTAAACAGACTGATGAGTTTTTAGGTGATTTTCAGTTTTTACTTATTATAAATGAAGCTTCAGTGAACACACTTTTACATGTATTGAGCAAATACACCTACAGTATGTAATTCCTATAACAGAATTGTTGGATTAAAGAGTAGTAGTAAACAACTCCCCAAAACTGGCTGTGCAAATGCATACTCCACAAAGTGTACAAAAGCAGCAATAGTTATCTTTAACTTCAAAAATTAAGCTTCGATTACAGTAATTTTAAACACTTATAGGTAAACCAGATAAGAACTCACCTCTTCCACTTCCACTACCACTTCTGCTTTGATAAGTGTCACCCTTTCCTGTAAGGCATTGTTTTACAGAAGATTTAGAGAAATCACAGCTCCTCCTCAAGCACATAAACCATATAGCTATTTCTTTTCAAATATTGAGTAATTACTCAGGATTCTAGTCCCTTAATCCACCCACCTCTTATTCTATACTTAAACCTTTTTCTCATTTGAACATTTTTTTTTAGGGAAGTTTTAGGTTCACAGAAAATTAAGCAGAAAGTACAAAAAGAAAAAAAAAAAAGAAAAAGAAAGTACAGAGACATCCCACATACCTCCTATCCCCACACCTGCATGGCCTCCCCCCATTATCAACATCCTCCACCAAAGAGGTAATTTGTTACAATTGATGAACCTACACTGACACATCATAATCACCCAAAGTCCATCACTTACATTACAGTTCACTCCTGGTATTATACATTCTTTATGTTTGGACAAATGTATAACGGCATGTCTCCACCATGACAGTATCATACAAAGTAACTTCACTGCCCTAAAAATCCTCAGTGCTCTGCCTATTCATCCCTTCCCCCAACCCCTAGCAACCACCTATTTTTTTCACCCTTCTTGTTATAGTTTTGCCTTTTCCTGAATGTCATATAGCTGGAATCATACAGTAATTTCAGATTGGCTTCTTTCACTCAGTAATACATATTTAAGGTTCCTCTATGTCTTTTCATACCTTAATAGCTCATTTCTTTTTAGTACCACAGTTTATTTATCCACATTTGAACAATTTTTCAACAATAATTATGTTCCTTTTTTTCACTTTCTCAAATCCCCTAACTCAGAATCCTTTCTTTGAAATCAAAGCAAACTTCATTTTCCTTCCTCCAATTAAAAGTATAATTTATAACTCAAATTAACTGGTAGATAAGAGAGAAGAAATAATTCACAGAGCACAAACTTTGTAAGGGAGGCAAAACTGTCCATGTATTTTTGCCTACAAATCTAAAAAGCAGAGAAAATCATGAGCCAATCTAGTACACTTAAACATATATATTAGGTTTATTAATCCTAGAGCTAAAAGCAAATATGAATGATTAATATTCAGTAATAAATTCTATTTCTCACCTACACCAGTTAATGCTGATCTTCTAGAGCCAAAAATGCCACCAGTGCGCTGGGTCCCCTCATCTTGTTCATATTTGCTATCTAGATTTACAGATAATAAATTCAGATTATGCTACTTTTAAGAAGCTTTTAAATCATGCAGCAAAGAAAAAAAATCAACTTATGGTGCCATAAGTTAAACAGATGCAGAATAAAATAATTTAAATTTAACAGGAATTACAGTATTTTTCTAAGAAGCACACAAAAGGATTTCTCCACAAATTATTTCCTTCAATTACAAATTACTTCCTCAAAATTTTTATTTTATTAAAATTATTTTATAAAAGTAGTTAGGGTCAATACTACACCAAAATATGATATAAGCAAAAGTTAAATTACCTCTGAAAAATAGCACGGTTACTGCCCCCAGAAATTTCACATTACATAATCTCACTGCTTGTTCTCCAGAAAAGCACTCCTTGCACCCACAGTTCCCAAATCAAACTTTATCAGTCCTGAACAGCAACCCTCCAGATCCCTTCACTTTTTTTAAAGCGACAATTCACTAATCCGCTATACATCTACTAAATCATTATTACAATTTATGTTTTTAGCTTCCACTATTCTGTCCTCCTCTGTTAAGTGACAAATGCATTCCAACAGTGACTTCAGAAAACAATACCTTAGCACCAAGGAATGATGACTGGTAGAATTTAGGTAGAAAGACACATTGGTATAAAAGAGGTATAATGGGATGCAGAGCCATAGAGAAGGCCACCTATTTGTAAGGTCAGCCATCTTTATCAAAGCTCTAAAATGCTTCACAGTATGTAATATTAAAGAACTGAGTCACACACACTGCTAAAAAGATTCATATATTCCCACTTAACCTGTAAGGAATTACATGTGTCTAAAAAATAATATTTTATACAATATAAGTGATTATGTACCAACCACTATGCTTAACTAGTCTCATATAATCATCATAACAACCTTACACGGTAAGTATTATTTTTTATCATTTCTTTCGTAATAAATGAACACACTATTTGCAATCCACTACTAACTTGGACTTCCTAGACCAAATCCTCCACGGCAACCTCGGAAACTACCTCTTCCACCTCTTCTGGATGACACTGAAGCTTCTGAATCATTTCCATCTTGACAGCCTATAATATTAAAACATACACACAAAAACAACACAAAACAACAACAAAGAAATACTGGGGATATGGTGGCCAAGTTAATTCAAGTCTTGCATATTTCAATGACTTTAATAGTTTAAGCCATTAACAGACAGTTACTAAAAAGAAACGCTGTATTTGACCTATAAATGATGTTAGCTAATATTTATTGCCTTACAGAAAAAAAAAACCTATGAATTAATCTGGGGCCTGACAAGGAGAAAAAGGTCTCATATAATCTTTGGCCAACGGTTCTCCTAAAACAAGCCCAAAGCTATTTTTACCACACTGGGAATTAAAATAGGCTGATGACATTAGCAGTTGGGTGAAGGGTACAATTACATTAGAAAAAGAAGGGTGGAGGAAACCCTCTGTACTATTTTCGAAACTTCTTTTGAGTCAAATGATTTCAAAATTAAAAATTAAAAAAATAATTTCTGTAGCTTAAAAAATAAAGCCAAGCGCAAACAAAAATGAGACAATGATCCCAAGATCAGTTATAATCTATTAATTATATAAAAATAATAGTAATAACAACAAATAGAACTTAGTATCTGTCTGGCATTGCTCTAAATGAAGTCTGTTTTAACTTTTTAAGTCCTCACAAAAACCTTACGAGGCGGGTATTATCCTCAAATTATAAACAGAGAAAAAGAAATACAGAATTTTTTAAGATAATACAACTGACAGGAGGAGCATCTGGGTCTCAAATCCAAGGTGTCTGAGCTCCTTATCGCTATACTATACCAGCTAGGGTACATGAGATTGCAGAGAAAATAACCACAAAACACTCTATACATCTGTGTGCAGAGAAAAAGCTTCTATAATGATAGCAAAACCTGCTCCTGGGCTTGCCAACAACTGTGAGAGTGAAAGAATTTTTTAGGAATATACACAGTTTTTTAGTTTAGGGGAACTAAAACTGAGAATAGAAGAAGTAAATAAGGAAAGGAAGGGTGGCGGGGGGAGGGATACACAAGAGGGAAGAGATATGGGAACATATGTATATGTATAACTGATCCACTTTGTTATAAAGCAGAAACTAACACACCATTGTAAAGCAATTATACTCCAATAAAGATGTTTAAAAAAAAGAAGTAAATAGATCAAAGGAAGAAAGTAGACCATTTTGGAGGAGAGAAGTTCTCTCAAGTGCTGTGAGAAATTGGAATTTGTGCTCAAAAGTACTCTGGCTCATCACTAAAGAGTCAACTGGGGAGGAAAGAATGTCTTTGGTGAGTAGAAATGATCTTGAATACTAATTAAAAGTTGGAAAATTAGGACAAGAAGAAATGGAAAAGGATAAAAATGGTGATGTTTTTCTTCTCTCAAATATTAGTTGTATGTTACATATGTTTTCATTAAAACAGGATAGGAGAAAAAGCAGACAAAAGCAGGGAGAATGAGACTGCCAGTAGTTTGGAGAAGCAGTCTTAACTGATATATTAAAACCCCACCATGTTCCAAAAGGGTTTTAAGGTGATCAGGTCTAGGTTTGGTTTTGATTTTGAGAATCACAGTTAAGATCAAGTCTCAAATATTTAATGAAGATAGATGACATTTACTGTTTACTATGAATGTATCTGGGACTAAGCTTCGTGCTTTTACACACATTCTCATTTAGTGTGCCTAGCAAGCTATAAAATGATGGTCTCCATTCTACAGAAGAAGAAACTGTGGCTCCGAGAAATTAAGCAACTTGCTCTACGTTATTCAACTAGCAGATAGCAGAGCAGGGACATGAAACAAAGTCTGGAACTCCAAAGTGTATTATGTTATAAAGATTCCATAGATCAGTGGTTACCAAACAAAAGAGGCATCAGAGTCACCAGGGATGCTTTTTAAATACAGGTTCCAGGGCCTCACCCAAATCTACTAAACCAGGCTCTCCTGGAAAAGTAATGTTAATTATTGTAGTCTACCTTATGGTAACATTACTCTATTCTCATCATTCTCTGTATTCCTCCAAACCAGAGTGTCAGTACCTTTGACAGAAATGTCTTTGATTTCAGCAGTGATCCACAGTCTCATGAATCTGAATAAAGACCTACATGTCTCAAACTGTATTTATATATGAAACTGGAATTCTGATTCGTTTTTTTTTTTCCAGAGTGGCTAAAACCATTTTATTTTCCCACCAGCGACGTGATATAATTTTTATACGTACTCACCAGCATTTGATGTTGTCATTATACTTTAATTTTAGTTATTCTCTGATATCTCATTATGGTCTTAATTTGCATTTCCCTAATGGCTAATGATGTTGAGCATCTTTTCATGTGCTTCTTTGCCATGTGTATATTCTCTTCCATGAAATGTCTGTTTCTGTCTTCTGCCTATTTTCTAGTTGGATTTTTTTAAGTTGTTTGGAGAGTTCTTTGTATATTATAGATACAAGTCATTTGTCTCATATGGGATGTTCAAATATGTTTTCCCACTGTGTAATTTTAGTTTTCATCCACTTAAAAGGATCTTCTATGAAGCATTTTTAACTCATTTTGATGAGATTCAATTTATCAGTTTTTGCTTTTATTGATCATACTTGCAGTGTCAATTCTAAGAATTATTCACCTAGTTCTAGACGCCAATGATTTTCTCCTATTTTTTTTTCTAAAAATGTCCTGCTTTTACATTTAAGACTACAATCCACTTTGACTTAATTTTTGTGTAAGGTGTGGAGGTTTAGGTTAAGGTCCATTTTTTGTTTGTTTTTGTTGAGGGATGTCCAACTGTTTCAGTACCATTTTTGAAAAGTCTATTCTTCCTTGATAGCTTTTGCACTGCTGTCAAAAACAAGTTAAATGTATTTATGTCAGTCTATTTCTGGGTTCTCTATTCCATTCCATTGATCTATGTATCTACCCTCCATCATTACTGCAAAATCTTGCAATTGGGTAGATTAATTCCTCCCGTTTTAATCTTCCTTCACAAATTGTTTTAGCTATTCTTTTTTTTTTTTTTACATCTTTACTGAAATTCTGATTCTTGACTTGCTCTTTCTACTATCCTCTTTTTCTTAAGGAAGCACAGCATTCAAAAGTTGCACTTTACAGATTAATTAAGGCAGGTGACAATAGGCCAAATTAGGATGGCTGAATTCTTGGTTAAGGCTCTGGCTATAGCTGCTTTATAAAACGGGTTTAAATAAAATAGAACTGGAACAGACTAAGATAATTAATCTTAGTTTCTCTTTAGCATGTACTCTGGACACTAAATTCTTAAAGTCACTACAAAGAACAATGAACTTACCTCTCCAGAAACCAAAGCTATCACCTTCTTCAAACTTGTTATTTGAAAAACCTACAAAAAATATAAAATTAAACTTGGCACATTTCTGAAAACAACAATTACCTATACCTTTGTAGAAGAAAGAAAGAAAGAAAAAGAGAGAGAAAGAGAAACATAGAAACAAAAAAAAACACACTCTTTACAGGGACTTCTAGTTTTGATGTCCCTTTAAAACAGTATAAACCACATACAACTGTATATATAAATAGTGAACAAGAATTCATACACATTGTATGACAACTTCTTCCTGTGTCAGTTTATTAAAATACCAGCCAATCTTATATTACCTCAAATGTCATATATTCCTCTATATGTACATGGCTGTGTGTGTGTATATATATCACTATAACCACTATGTACTTTCTATTCAAAATATAAAAACTTTTTAAACTTTATAAATTAACCTATAATCTCTTCATCTGCTGGAGGACAATACAACTAAATTATAATCCAATATTCAAAAATTTTCCCCTTCTCAGTAACAAGGAAATTCTGCCAACTTCTTTTTGTTTACAAAATTTAAAAGAAACAATCTTTCATCAAGCTCTGCTTTCAAATTTCTCATTTAATAAAAACTTGTGTCTCCAGATTTATGCATCTCTGGAGCATATAAATATAGCTCTAAAATTCATTTTAAAAGCATCCATCAAAATATTTCATAAAATTTTAAAAATTTGAGCCTTAATAAAATGATCTTTACTGCAGAGATACTCAGGGAATAATGTAAGTTAAAACTAACGTCAGGGGCTTCCCTGGTGGCGCAGTGGTTGAGAGTCTGCCTGCTGATGCAGGGGACACAGGTTCGTGCCCCGGTCCGGGAAGATCCCACATGCTGCAGAGCGGCTGAGCCCGTGAGCCATGGCCACTGAGCCTGCGTGTCCGGAGCCTGTGCTCCACAACGGGAGAGGCCACAACAGTGAGAGGCCAGCCACGTCAGGGCTTCCCTGGTGGCACAGTGGTTGAGAGTCCTCCTGCCGATGCAGGGGACAAGGGTTTGTGCCCCGGTCCGGGAAGATCCCACATGCCGCGGAGCGGCTGGGCCCATGAGCCATGGCCACTGAGCCTGCGTGTCCGGAGCCTGTGCTCCGCAGCAGGAGGGGCCACAACAGTGAGAGGCCCACATACCGCAAAAAAAAAACCAAAAAACTAATGTCAATATGCAATGCCTATCAATTAGTATCTAACCTAAATAATTAAATTATGGCTTTGGTACTACAGAGACCAATCAGTTACTGTTTGACAGATGTTAAATTTATATGCAGGGACTTCCCTGGTGGCACAGTAGTTAAGAATCCATCTGCCAATGCAGGGAACACGGGTTCGAGCCCTGGTCAGGGAAGATCCCACATGCCGCGGAGCAACTAAGCCTGTGCGCCACAACTACTGAACCGGTGCTCTAGAGCCCGCATGCCACGACTATGGAAGTCCGCACGCCTAGAGCCCGTGCTCCGCAAAGAAGAGTAATCCCCGCTTGCTGCAACTAGAGAAAGCCTGCACAGCAATGAAGACCCAACACACCCAAAAGTAAATAAATTTAAAAATATATATATATGCAAAATGTCTACATATCAAGTCATTTAACATCTCAGGTTCAACAAATTTAATGTACCCTCCAGCATTAAACCTCTTGGAAATTTAATACCCAATTAGCATATAAAAAATAAGTACCCTTTGGCCTCAATATATGATTGGATGACACTTTTTCCTCGAACAGATATGTAATTTCAAAATAAAGATAATCCCTACAAAAAGACTACATATCACAAAACTTGGATTTTGAGTTATTTTATTCATTTAAATATTTGCAATCTTTGAAGTTGGTTCAGAAAAGGATTATGTTCTACTGCCCTCTACAATTGCCCCTTCCCCTCCATACACCTCTCCCAGAAAAGTTAAGTGCTGGGTCTCCAAAATGCTTGAGAAAGTCTTCCACCTACACACTACTGGTCTTGATCTTAAACTCTTACCTAAGTTCTACTTTACAGTTTTTAAAGTTTTTATGGAAAAAAATGTAATTTCAAAGCTTCTACTGGTTCTTTGCTCAAGTAAAGATGGCAACTCAGATTCACCTTTGGAAGTATAAAATAGATCTCTTGCTTGTGGGAGCTGGGAAAGCAAATTATGAGTATAGTAGAAAAGAACTGGGGTTCACCTGTGGGGTAAATCAATTTGAAGAGATGTTGCAGCAAGTAGCATGGCTATTAAAAAGAAAAAAAAAAGCAAAATAGAGTAGCAGAGACATCCAAAGCAGCATAAACTGCTGCTCTAAACTATGACTAGGAAAGTGAAAGCACTCACTTGTGATCTCCATAAAGTCTTGGGAAAGGCACACACTTTCTATGTATATTAAAGGGAAACAATTCAAAGACTATAAAACTTGGGGTCACTTAAGTTTTGATTGTAAGATATCATAAGCAGGTTACCTCTGTTTCCAAAACTCCTTCCAACTCTAAAGCCACCCATTGCGGATGTATTCTCTCTTTTATTAGACTCGCCAGGATCTGAAAAAGTTCAGAGAGTTAAAACTCTTCAACATACAAAATCAAGTGCGCCATCAATAGCTAGGAATTAAATGAATCTGTGGGTTAAGGGAACTCCCAAGGACAGGGAGAGAGTAGTACAGGAACTTATAAAGACAAAATACACCTGCAACTTTTTAAAATCATTAAATTACACCAAAGTAAAAACAAATATACTATTGGTAAAATACAACTGTCTACTAGGTGTTATTTTACTAGTGACCTTTAATCAAGAAATTCAACTCTGATTTTCTATATATTGAAACCTCACCCTGATAGCTATTTACATTATACGCCTATGTGAAAGTCATTGCTACTGAAAATTTTACACTGCCGTCCTGTAATTACTCTGTTACTTATTCATTTTTCTAGTACTTCAGTCGCTCTCAGTCTTTCCACTTTTTAAAATTAAAATTAGGAAGGGACTACATAATAAAGAAAAAATGCTATGAATACCACTCCCCTTTACCTCCCACCCCTCCATAGTATTTCCTCATATCAGCCTTATTAGCTTTATCCCCCACTACTTGGCTCTGAACACCCAACATTTTAATTCATAAAACAACTTCCCATACTCCACATTGTGAACTTCTAATATTTTCTACCTTCCTACATGCTGTTCCTTCAGCATGACATTCCCTGCTTTCTTATTTTTCCTAGCAAAATTCTTTTCACTCTTCAAAAGCTGGGTTCAAAAGCCACCTCTTCAGTGAAGTCCTCCTTCAGTCCTCCAGCCATAGTCAATCCTTCAGTCACATTCCCACAGCATACTATGTGTATCTCTTTTTTAGCAATATTTCTTTCCACGTGTTTCTCTACCACTAAATTAAGAATTATGAGGGCAGAGTTTCTACGGCAAGCAGCACAGGTATTTAAAACAAAAACTTACACATCCAAAACATCATAAACTGCCACTTCAAACTATCATTGGGATAACTATCATTATCTTGTGATCCTCATAAACTGTCTTACCTCTATCTGTAATATCCTAGTGCAGAGGAGTTAAGGGATCTGTCAAACTCCTAATGCCAAATGCAAAATTGCATATATGCAACTATCAGTATTTTCATCAGATTCTAAAGAAGTGTGTGATTCAGGAGGTTAAGGCTTTTCAGGCCATACTTCACAGAAGATAAAAAGCTAATCAATATATATGTTAAGCAATTAAGAGTCAATTTTAAAACCACTTGACTAGATATGCAAGTTCTGAGAACAACTATCACAGAGATTGAAAATAGCGAAAATGTTAAATGGATCATTCGGGAAAGGGGTTATACTCATCGGTCTTCTATGAATTTCCAGGATTATATGTAGTATTAAAGATAACTTTTTTTCTTTTTTTCTTTTAATTTTATTGGAGTACAGATGATTTAGAATGTATTAGTTTCAGGTGCACAGCAAAGTGATTCAGTTATACATACACATGTTTATTCCTTTTCAGATTCTTTTCAAAGATAACTTTTTAAAGTATTAAGATTTACAAAGAGTTTTGATCAGAAATTTAATGTATTTCAACCTACAACATATGGAATTAACAATTTAAAGTCTCTCTCAGTGATGGCTTTCTCATTTAAAAAGGCTTTATTCAACAATGTTTAGAAGTCTTCACCAAAAAGTATTATAACCCATTCTAAATTAGGATTTTAAAATATATCTAAATATTAAATAGTTCCCTGAGTATAATATTAAGGTATTTGTATTTCTAATCTTAGTAGTAGCAAACAAAACCCACACTTCAACCTCTTAGCACAGCTACATGCTCCAAATCATCAACAACTCTTACTTAATATGCAGGCTTAAAAAACAAAATGTATATAGGCATATTTAACAAATAAATTATTTCCATTAGTAGCAGAAACATGTCAAAACATAAAAGTTCACATTTATGTTAACTGTATCTAAAAATACTAAATTTTCCAAATGGCAAATGAAATACACGCATCAACCTTTAGTTTCCAATGAATAAAAATATCTAGAAGGATTGACGTTTTTCAAAAAATAATAATAAATTCAAGAATAAGTGTCATGTATATTTAAAACTGCCAATTAATCCTAGCTTACGGCATCCCATAAAAGAAATAAATTTATTTAAAAATCCATATGACCATTTAATTTGAGGTTCTAATAAATATTTTGTTGCACTATAATAAAACATAGTGCAGAATATTTTCAGCATTTTAATATCAAATGGACTGGAGGAAGGTATTTTGCTGGGTCATTATCTGTCAAATCTAGCACTGGTTGTTCTAAAAGTAACAACAAAAATTTCCAATTTTGGGAAAACAACCTCTTAATATTAATGAGCTAACAGAACTGCTTCCCATACTTTCTCTTCTTGAGAAACATAAAACTTAATAAAGAAGTCCTTCACACCATAATCTTTGAAGCTCTTACAAACATTCCTCCCAGGCCAATTGTTGAGAACAATAATCACCAACACCTGAAGAAGCTCTGGGAAGCAACTCTCTTTAACCAATCTATCTAATCAATTTAACTACTGCCTACTATCTTAAAAAAAGTAAAGCTTCCCTGGTGGCGCAGTGGTTGAGAGTCCGCCTGCCGATGCAGGGGACACGGGTTTGTGCCCTGGTCCAGGAGGATCCCACGTGCCGCGGAGCAGCTGGGCCCGTGAGCCATGGCCGCTGGGCCTGCGCATCCAGAGCCTGTGCTCTGCAGCGGGAGAGGCCGCGGCAGAGAGAGGCCCGTGTACCGCCAAAAAAAAAAAAAGTAAAGCAGCAAAAAAAAACCAGACTTCAAAATAAAAACTCATTATCCCAACAAAGTGTACTGTACACTAAGTTATAAAAGATTTTACCTTGCACTAAACAGCCATAAAGACCTCTATTCATTCCACTATTCAAAACTATTTAACAGAAGATTAAGGAAAGATACTTACCCCTGTTTCCCAAACTCCTCCCAGCGGCAAGTCTGCTTCTCATGAAATGATCTCTTCGAGAAGATCCATCATCCATTTCTAAAGCAAATAACATTTGAAGCAAGTCAAAATAACAAAAAAAAATACCTTGGTGGTAAGCAAACTTTAAACCTTCTCAAAGTGCCATCCATACGGCAAAGGAAGAATTTTATATAGCACTAAGAAAGATGAAAAGCCTAGTAGAAAAATGGGCTATGAATAAGAATAGGTAGGTCTCCAAAAGAAAGAAAGAAAAAAAAAGTGTCTCTCACTCATAATTAAAGAAATTGGAAATCAAAAAAAGGTTATAATTTTCTCAACCACAACTGACTGGAAAACAGTTTGCTAATACTGAGACTAATCAAGGACATAGCGAAACAAGCACAAATCATATACAATATTGAAGCTATAAACTGGATCAATCTTGATCCTGATCTTAAAAGAAAAATACTTTTTGGAAGTATACTAGTATGATTTTCCCTGTGGATACTCAGATGGTAACAGGTACACACAAAGATGTTTTTATAAGCATTGTCTATAATAGCAAAAAAAAAAAAAAAAATCAAAGGAGAACAGGTAAATTACAGTCATTCACAGAACACTGTGCACATTCACAGAACTAAAAACATTAAAGAAGTTGACATTCAACAATAGAATGTTCATAAAAACTGGCCACATGGAAGGCCAAAATGCAAATTCAACAATTTCAAAAATCAATATCATATACACAAAACTCTCTAATTGCAATGCAATCAGTTTGGAAGTTACCAAAAGAAAGACAAATACTGCATATTTTCAGTTATATGTGAAATCTAAAAAACAAAACAAGCAAACAAATACACAAAACAGAAAAGAGTAACAGATACAGATAACAAATAGTGGTTTGCCAAATGGGAGAGGGGTGGGGGAAGGTACGAAATAGGTAAAGGGGATTAAGAGGTACGAACTACCAGTTATAAAATAAATAAGTTACAGGGATGTAATGTATAGCACAGGGAATATAGTCAATGTCTTATACTAACTTTGTATGGTGTGTAACCCAAAAAGAAATCAAATCACTGTTATGTACCTGAAACTAATATGGTATTATAACTCAAGTATACTTCAATTTAAAAAAATTAGAAATTATTAAATACCAAAAAAACTTGATTAAAATCCTCTTACATTTGGAAATGTATTTCTACAACACTTCTATATAACATAGCACAAAGAAAAAAATTACAATGGAACTTTAGAAATACTTAGAATTGTATGATAAAAATGACATATCAGAACTTAAATTTTTATACAAAAAAAGGAACTCAAAAAAAAAAAACTCAAAATTAATGAGCTAAACAGCCATCTCAACTAATAGGAATGTTAGAAAAAGAAATAAATCACACAAAAGTAAAGGAGGAAAAAAATGGTAAGAGCAGAAATTAATGAAATAGGAGAAACAAACATATAATAGCGGCTCAACAAAACCAAAACCTAGCTCTTTAGGAAACCAATAACCCACTTTAGGATGAAGGACACACATAGACTGAAAATGAGGAGATGGAAAAAAGATATTTCATGCAAATGAAAATGACAAGAAAGTGGGGGTAGCAATACTCATATCAGACAAAATCAACTTTAAAACAAAAGCCATAAAGAAAGCTAAAGAAGGACACTATATAATGATAAAAGGATCAATACAAGAAAAGGATATTACACTCATTAACATATATACAGCCAATATAGGAGCACCTAAATACATAAAACAAATACTAACAGACATAAAGGGAGAAATGGATGGGAATACAATAATAGTAGGAGACTTTAACACCCCACTGACATCAATGGTCAGATCTTCCAGACTGAAAATCAATAAGACAACAGAGATCCTAAATGACACAAGAGAACAGTTATAGACTTAATTGATATTTTCAGGACATCACGGTCAAAATATATACATACTACATATTCTTTCCAAGCACACATGGAACATTCTCTAGGTTAGACCCATACCAGGACACAAAACAAGCCTCAACATATTTTAGATGATAGAAATTATTTCAAGCATCTTTTCTGACCACAATAGCATGAGACTAGAAATCAACCACAGAAAGAGAAACAAGAAAAAAACGATTACAAGGAGACTAAACAACATGCTATGACAAAAAACCAATGGGTCAACAATGAGATCAAAGAGGAAATTTTAAAAATACCTTGAGACAAATGATAACAAAAACACAAACACACAAAATCTAAGAGGGAAGTTTACTGTGATATAGGCCTTCCTCAAAAAACAAGAAAAACTCTCAAACAAGCAACCTAACCTACCATCTAAAAGAATTAGAAAAAGAAGAACAAACAAATACTACAGTCTCAAGAAGGAGAGAAATAATATAGATCAAAGAGGAAATAAATAAAACAGGGATTAAAAAAACAATAGAGGGCTTCCCTGGTGGCGCAGTGGTTGAGAGTCCACCTGCTGATGCAGGGGACACAGGTTCGTTCCCCGGTCCGGGAAGATCCCACATGCCACGGAGTGGCTGAGCCCGTGAGCCATGGCCACTGAGCCTGCACGTCCGGAGCGTGTGCTCCGCAACAGGAGAGGCCACAACAGTGAGAGGCCATGTACCACAAAAAACAAACAAACAAACAAAAAACAATAGAAAAAAATCAATAAAACCAAGATCTGGTTTTTTTGAAATGATAAAATCAAGAAACCTCTGGCCAGGCTCACCAAGAAGAAGAGACAGAGGACCCAAAATAAACAAAGAAATGAAAGAGGATAAATACCAACTAACACTGCAGAAATACAAAAAAAAACATAAGAAAATACTATAGACAATTATATGCCAACAAATTGGACAACCTAGAAGAAATGGACAAGTTTCTAGAAACATACAGCCCACCAAAACTGAATCAAGACAAAACAGATAATTTGAACAGACTGATCACTATAAGTGAAATAGCAACTGTAATTTAAAAACTCCCTGCAAACAAAAGTCCAGGACTGGATGGCTTCACTGGAGAATTCTATCAAACATACAAAGAAGAACTTGTACCAATCTTTCTTGAACTCTTCCAAAAGACTGAGAAGAGGGAATACTCCCAAAGTGATTTTATGAAGCCACCATCACCCTGATACCAGACAAAGACACTACCAAAAAAGAAAATTACAGGCTAGTACCTTTGACAAATATAGATGCAAAAATTCTCAACAAAATATTAGCAAACCGAATCCAAACAACACATAAGAAGGATCATACACCATGATCAAGCTGGATTCATCCCAGGGTCACAATGGTTCAACACATGCAAAATCAATGTGACACACAACATCAACAAAACAAAAGACAAAAACCACATGATCATCTCAATAGACTAAGAAAAAGCATTTGATAAAATTCAACATCCATTCATGATTAAAAAAACTCTTACCAAATTGGGTATGGAGGGAACATACCTAAGCATAACAAAAGCAATTTATGACAAACCCACAGCCAACATAATACTCAACAGTGAAAAACAACAACTTCACGCTAAAATTTGGAACAGGACAAGTATGCCCACTCTCACCACTTCCATTCAACACAGTATTGAAAGTCCTAGCCACAGCAATCAGACAAGAAAAAGAAATAAAAGATATCCAAATTGGAAAGGAAGAGGTAACAATGTCATTATATGCAGATGACATAATATATATAGAACACCCTAAAGACTCCACACAAAAACTACTAGAACTGATAAACAAATTCAGCAAAGCAGCAGGATACAAGATTAACATACATAAATCTGTTGCATTTCTTTACACTAACAATGAAATATCAGAAAGGGAAAGTTTAAAAAAAAAAATCCCTTTTCAAATCACATCAAAAACTCCTTAAAGAGAACACAGGCAAAACATTCTCTGAAATAATCTTACCAATGCTTTCTTAGATCACTCTCCCAAATCAATAGAAATAAAAGCAAAAATAAGCAAATGGGACCTAATCAAACTTACAAGCTTTTGCACAGCAAAGGAAACCATAAACAAAATGAAAAGACAACCTATGGACTGGGAGAAAATATTTGCTGATGATGTGACCGACCAGGGATTAATTTTCAAACAGCTCATATAAACAACTCAATAACAAACAACCCAATCAAAAAATGAGCAGAAGACCTAAACAGACATTTCTCCAAAGAAGACATACAGATGGCCAACAGGCACATGAAAAGATGCTCAACACTGTTAATTATCTGAGAAATGCAAATCAAAACTATAATGAGGCATCACCTCACATGGGTCAGAATGGCCATCATTTAGAAGTTTACAAATAATAAATGCTGGAGAGGGTGTGGAGAAAAGGGAACCCTCCTATACTGCTGGTGGGAATGTAAATTGGTGCAGCCATTCTGGAAAACAGTATGGAGGTTCCTTAAAAAACTAAAAATAAAGTTACCATATGATCCAGCAATCTCACTCCTGGGCATATATCTGGAGAGAACTCTAATTCAAAATGATACATACACCCCAATGTTCATAGCAGCACTATTTACAATAGCCAAGACTTGGAAGCAACCTAAATGTCCATCAACAGATGAATGGATAAAGAAGATGTGGTATATACGTACAATGGAATACTGCTCAGTCATAAAAAAGACTGAAATAATGCCATCTGCAGCAACATGGATGGACCCAGAGATCATCATACTAAGTGAAGTCAGAAAAAGAAAGACAAATATCATATGATATCCCTTATATGTGAAATCTTAAAAAAATGATACAAATGAACTTATTTAAAAAACAGAAACAGACTCACAGGCATAAAAACAAACTTATGGTTACCAAAGGGAAAAGGGGAGGGAGGGATAAATTAGGAGTTTGGGATTAGCAGATACAAACTACTATATATAAAATAGACAACAAGGTCCTAGTGTATAACACAGGGAACTATATTCAGGATCTTGTAATAACTATAATGGAAAAGAATCTGAAAAGAACATATGTATGTATATAAATGTATAACTGAATCACTTCGCTGTATACCAGAAACTAACACAACATTGTAAATCAACTATACTTCAATTAAAAAAAAATTTTTTTT